TTAGTGCTTAAAAATTTGACTGTTGAAAAATTTGGCCCTTACACTTGCCAAGCAGGCAATGGTTATTCAAAACACTGCACAAGGAGATCATTCGAAATAAGGATCCAAGGTAAGCAAACCAAGCTTATCATACCTTTACGCAAAGATAGATATCCTGTTTTCTTCAATGCGAAGGTGGATGCTGAGTGTTGGGTTTCGCTGCGATAGAAGATAGCTTTGTTTGGTTTTGTTTTTGTGGTAAGTTTTTTTAATTCAAGAAGAAGGAGTATCAAATAATCTGCATCTAAGAAACTCCTGCAATTTATGGACAGGCAAGTCCAGTATCTATTCAATTTCTTAAATAAAATTCCGCAATGTGACTATTGGCTGACAAGAATTGAAATGCACCGTTCAAAGAAAGAAATCGCTTGGCGGCATGTATCCCAATAAATGGATCGATATTAATATGCAGGTGCACTAATACCCGAGATTGTTGAAGGTCCAAAGAACCAAAGTGTCCCGATCGGCTCGAATGTTACTTTAAGCTGCACTGCCAAGGGTCTTCCGAAACCAACTATCAATTGGATAAAGGTCAATACTTCACATATTTTACAAACCAACCCTAGAGCACGAGTCATTCAAGACGGCCGAACGAATCGCAGCCAGCTGTTGATTGCAGGTGTAGAGATGGAAGATTATGGAAAATACCAGTGCATTGTAAACAACAGCTTTGGAAAAAGTCAATCAGGAGTGGCTCTCTTAAACATAGGTTAGATACTTTTTAAATAAATGGAAAAATAAGGATCTTAACGAGGATCATAATCGCCAAAATCTTGTACACTTCTTTCTTCGTAATAAGCTTTTTCCTCTTCTTGTTTTTCGTCCTCGTCTATAACTCATCGCGTCACATAAACTAAAACAGTTGCTTGGATGTGAATTTGCAGATGTTCAAAAACCTGAGATTGTTGAAGGTCCAAAGAACCAAAGGGTCTCGATTGGTTCCAATGCTTCATTTAGCTGCACTGTTAAGGGTCTTCCGAGGCCAACCATTTATTGGATAAAGGATAATGCCTCATACCATATACAGTCCAACCCCAGAGCAAGTGTCATTCAGGAACGCAACGCTAACGACATTCGTAGGG